ATACATCTCCATAAGTCAAGGTTAGGAAGCCGTGTGTCAAATTAACAAATAGTGTGATTAATGCGATGGCATGACACGTGCGTATATTGAATTATAATCCATGACGGGGTGGTGCACTTCAATCTGGATGTTATCTGTCAAGCTCGCCCACTTAATTGACAATCTTATATTACATCCTCCGTGAACAAAATAATGCATTACATTTGTATTTGTGAATGTCAGTGTAAAAGATGTCAAGTGTATGGTCGTTGTTATTGTCGTCAGTTCTGTTAACCAATTGACAGACACTGAATTGACTACTTTGTAAATCTGGTACGTTGTTGCCAATTAAGTATCACTACATACTTTTAACACGGGATGCATGAATTTAAATAATCCTATGGCAAATAATATTGCCTTTACTTCCAGTTATTATGTTACACTGACTCTGAGGCCACATATTCTTAATTACATGATTCCGTATAGGATAAGATAAGTTTTCGTATATTTCGAATCTTTATAAGGTCATTGTCGTGTCATCTCCCGGTAAATAAATACTTTCCTCGTCACAGCTGTTTATTATTCACTGATATATATACGTACATCTATTTTAGCAGTCCACAGACGCAGCGCTTCCATGCTACTGATGAACCACCAACTTCGCAACCAAACACTTATCGTTTTGAACGATGTTAATTATAAGACCATGTTTCGCATGCGCGCGCATACCATTTTGAGATATTGAGCGTCTGGGTGTATCAATCGACGTCACAAAATACAATTCCCTTCTATCGAATATCAGCAAAATTACACATATTTCTGCATTCCAGTCTAGCTACGTCCGGGAAATGGTCTATCCCCTTCAACATCAAAAGGACGTCAAGGAGCTTACATTGCTAGGCTATATCACAGAGGGAATGTGACGGGGAATAAAGAAATGGTGTATGGCAATCGCGAGTTCGTCTCACTTGGTTACACGCATTGAAGCCAACTGTTTATATCTCATGTATTTAACCAGACCAAATAGCACTTCTACATGACTTTATTAAAATATCTTTTAAAACATGATTGTATGTCCCCATGTAGGTTCAACATAATTTCTGCTGGTTTAATCTATTTCTAAAAAAACTGCCAACAAAAGCCGTGTTATTTGCGTCGTAGGGGGCGTATTATTGTACCTAACACTCAATGTATTAAGTCGTTTTAGGCATACACTGTGTTGGTATTCTCGGGGGCGGAGCTACGTCACGGACGTTCTACGTTGCTAAGACGCGCACCATTGTACCACGTATTTCTATGGGCTTTGTGCGCGCTGCTGTGGAACGCCGGTGGAGCCGGTGAAAACTCGAGAAAACAACACAAACTCAACTTTGAAGTAATCCCAAACAACCAAATTCATATATGTTACACACGTAGGGCTAATCTTGTTACACTGTTCAGGGGACTCTCAACAACCATCGCAAAGTATCGTTTTCTGCGAGTTTTTGGTCTTTGTTTTCACCGCGAGGGTTGCCAGGCGGTAGAAAATGCCCGGATGTCCGCCCTCGAGGATATATAAACAAACGTGACATATGAATATGTATGCTCCAGTCAGCGTGATCAACTCATTATTTATACTATATCACAGCTTGCTCTGGCATAGACCTTACAATAAAGAGATAGGAACTTTGAAACACTAATGTGCGACTGTTGGTTGGTTTTGTAATTATTCAAACTAATTATTTGTTATTATTCAAACAAATTGCTAATAAATAAATATTCATAGTTTAAAATGCATACAAAATACAACGCATTCCTTGGTTATTTGTCAAAATTGAATTTGTTTTATTTTAAATACCTTTTCTTTGAAAATTGTAAGTTCAAAAACAACCAAAACAATCATATCCAGATGTACATATATTGCTTCTATAAAACGATTTCTAGCCTTGCGAGAATAATAATAACCTTCGATAAATATAGTCTGTATAAAAATTACGCTAATGACATCATATAAACTACTTATCGACAGTCTATTATGTATTACGAAATTTTCCTCAAAACTTGGGAAAAAACATTAGTGTGTACTAGTATGTTACCAGTACCGTATATCAAATACACTATATATATAAATGTATACTGCCACATTATATTTAAAAAAGTTTGTTATGCCACCCTCATGCATGTCACGATCACTTAGTCGACAAAACAGCCTACAAAACCGGGTCTGCTGTGTCGAAATTAAATGTAAAATAAGGCGCCAAAAATAGCGTCGTTTAAATCACTAATATGTTCAAGGGATGAATAGATGAGTAAATCCCAGGAATGCCACGTTGTCGGATACTACTGTCCATTATGCGAACACATCCATTGTTCATTTGAAACATGATCCTAGCTTTTAAAAAATACTGTAACTTAACATTAATATAAGTGTAAAACAAGCAAGATTATTTGTACGAGATATACACTGTATTACACGGGAAATTCAATTTTAGTCCAGGTGTGATTCTATTCTTTAGTTGTTATGTGTATTCTTACGTTCTCACGTTTTGCTTAAACATGTCTATATGCTATTGAAAAGGTGACATAGTTAGGACTACGATTACCAAATTAATTTTACAAACTGCAATCCGAGGTTATATAATCCTCGTAGGCGATTACCCATAATGCACATGGGGAAAAAATTGGGATTTACTAATAGTAGTTAAAATGTTTTTCGTCGAACATATTGTTAGGATAACAATCACACTTGAGCTAACATCGACGCATCGTTCGTGTGTGCACATTATGGCTGAGATTACCAATGACAGTGATGGTAAAATATCCACAAAAACATCATTTAGGAAAAGACAATATCAAATACAAGCCCATAATCAGATGTGACAATGGCAAGGTTAGGTAAACTATCAAAATATAGGTTCTTCTTTCCTTCAATATCTCGTCGATGAATGATAGCTTGTGACCACATTGACTTCGGCCATCCAATAAATGTTTCAGCACCTTGGCAAGCAAAAAAAATAACAAATGATTAGCCCACGACGAAAGAGGTGTGCATTTTAACAAGGACACTAAGAGTTTACTTAGTTTTATTTCTATAAATTACAACTTAACGCGATTTTCTCAAGACTCGACAGGATGAAATGGATGTATAAATGGAATACATCGAACCTAACACTCTGTATTCTAGTACATACATTTGATAGAAAATGGCCACTCACCATGACAGAGTTCTTCTTCCAGAAGTTCCTTCATTTGGGCGTCCTCCATTGGATCTGGAAATCGTATGTTCAGGTCATCTTGGGTGAAAATACGTCGTCTTGCTTGGATGTTTTCATTCAAATATCGTATGATTTCCTGGAAATGAAATTTACGTGTACACGGTAGTATGATATTTATGTATAACATATGGCTTGATAAGTGCACCCATTATATTGTATGAAGACTTTTATATATCATTTTTTTTTCTATTTCAAATCAATCAAAACTAAAATGAACTATATGTATGTATTATAAGCATGATACAGTGTCGAACGAATAAAGTGTGCTAATGTTCTATTAGAACTATAATTGAATATTGAATTTGAGATTAAAGACTACAAATATAAACACATTAATTTGCAACTGATATCCAATTACGAAAATAGTTCTATATATACTGTCACAGACAACATTCGGTGTTAGCCAAGAGTACGACTTGCAAATAAGCAAAACCACTAAGAGTTTCACATCTGTGAGTCAAACAATAAAACTGATTGTATTTTAGTGTATGTATTTGTTTTCATCAAAGTAGAACATGGCAATGAAAAGAAAAAATTTAAATATTGAAGATACTGCAAAGTATGCACGAAGACAGTACAGCGTCAGTATCCACCAACGCGCAGCGCAGGTCGATGCAACCGCATACTGTCTAAGTGCTTATGACGTTACTGGGTATTTCACCATAACGCCATAAGTTACAGCGTGCCGTAATTATGCGGTATTGCACTGGGTATTTTTATCCTACCATATAAGGAAATGCGATAATTAGAAAAATATGGAACGATTACGCGCGTAGGCGTCCTCTAATAATAACAAACAAACATGGCTGCCCCCCCCCCCCCCCAGTGTTTGAGAGGACACAACACAAAGAAGTTCGCTAAATCTGATCTAAACGATTTCGGCATTCCCATGATGTATTCATTGCAGGAACAGATGTATAATAATCAGGTTATTACGAGGATACTGCAAAAGATGCACTCGGACAGTGCGTGGTTGCATTGGCCTCGGCTGCGCGTCGGTCCATACTTCGCTGTACTGTCTTCGTGCATACTTTGCAATATCCTCGTAATAACCTCATAAAACTATGATTATGTGAATCGGGACCAACTCCCCAACTTTCGATGCCATTTCCATCTTATACCGTTGTGAGAGTAGAACCGTGATAGTTTGTCTTACCTCAGAACCTATGGGATGGGCAACATATACACATTGTATTTTAGACTGTTTCATGACATCGGCTACAGTCTCGGCTATCATTCGTGTAACTTCGGCGACTTTGTCCTTCAACGAGTCGCATGTGGCCGAGTGCTCAGAATTTTCGGTGCACCTATAAATAAACTTATTACTATCAACATCTCCTGTTCAGGATGTACGTTCATGGGTGGCTCCTGAATAGACGTTGATAAATTGCCATTTCCACGCAATGTTGACACAAAACAAAAGTGAAATTGCAAATCGGGGAGAAAAGATGCAAATATCGATTGTACAATTTTAGCTTACAAATAAGATTTATTTTCATGCTTGTTAAAAATGCAAAATGGGCAAAAAGCGTTTTTTTTATTGTTTTTGCATGGCGGATTATGTTCTATCACGAAATAAAAATATTGACTTTTAATATGCCAATTATACTGTTACATGATAATTATCTAGACCTTTCGACATTTTTAATACAGTGCTGTAATGTATTAGAATTTAACAATTTCCATAGTACATAACATCTAAAATGTATCTTTCTTAATAAAGCTCTAATAAAAAAAATCAAAATAAAAAAGGCACTGTCTTTACATCGCAATGTAAACAACAACGCAGTGTACGTAGAAAAATGAAAAAAAATAAAGGAAAACATGTTCTCATCCATATTTGAATATATGATTATTCGTAGAAGGTTTATATCACAAAACGGGTTAATCACGCATATACACCAAAACATGCACAATAATGTACAAGGAATTGTCAAACAGATGTGACCACAGAATAAGTAACACTGTCCGTAATCCATAAAATATATACTAACAACGTTTAAACGGATTATCCATGGAACTGACATGACAATTTGCACTTCTCTGAGATATTATAAAACAATCATTCAGAAAGTTCGAATTTAAAGATGATTCAGGAAACAATAATAATGGAAAATAACATGGTCAATATCATCTCATTACTCTTACCATTCCTTCGTTTTATTTCGCCAATGCATAGCGAGGTACGTGTCGGTAGGACAGAACTTCTTGATGGTGTTGTTAACTGATTCCACCATGTCTTGCATGATTTTCGCTCTCACAAAATATTCGTCTATATTTTTTGCATCGCTGTTTGGTAGCATCTTCTCTCGATATCCTTCTGGATCGAAGAAGACCACACACTTCATATCTGGTTTCGAGTTTATCAGATTCAAACTTTTTTCCGGAGTTTCGGGAAGATCTGATTTACTAGGCAGTTGTATTCCAAATACGTCATTATAAATTTGTCTCGTATTTTCGTAATTTTCCACATTCCGGTCCGTCCAATAAACAACGTCTATTTTAGAGCTACCACAGTCGCGACGGAAGTTATGAAATGCTGCGTTCGGTACCAATTGACGAAGTTTGTCCGAGTCAAACGTTTTATTCCACGCTGTCGTTGTCCTCTGTCCGTCGTCTTCCAGAGCAACAAACGGTGCCCGTACGATGGTCCTGTTATATTTCATGGCAAATGCGGCACCGTCTTTGAAGCCCGAATACTGCAAATGACGGAAACGTGTCGAGTTCTCGGGAAACACAGCGAGAACGTACGGCGGCACCGTTTCGTTAGATGGTGTCGTCTTCTTTGGTACGCTGTTCCAGGTGTTGTTTTTATTGATGGCCATTAAATACATTTGTCTAATCTCTTTCTGTGTCAGTTCAGATATCTATTGACAAAATAAGAAAGGTGTGAGATAAATCATCATTTGCAAAAGACTAATCCTACAAAACATGTGTAGAATGTAGAATACCAGGGGCGTGCGTCGTATGACACCTGCGGTCAAATTCCCGTCTGAATTGGCTCAAAAGAAACTATGTGCTCTGAATCGTTGATAAATTTTCTAATCTAAATATCAACTCAAAGCATCTTCACCAACGGGGTACCCCCCCCCCCCGAAATACCCTTCCCCATATCAGGTCGTCACGGTGACAGGTAGTATGTGTGAAATCAGAACCATAATCTATCTGGAGGGGGAAAAATAATGTATATTGCATATGTCGTCTTTGATTCGAGTGCAACTTGTAACAGTATAATGATCAAGTCCCGCGGAAGGTAGGTGTTAGTTGTAGTATTTTATTCTGAAAATGACAGATACACGGTATTGAATAAAGAGTTGCTCTTTGAGCGTCGGTCGGGGGTACCTACTCAACCCAAGTATGGATCTCGTGGCTTCTTTAAGAAGATCAATAATGTGACGTCGCCGTGACACTCGAAACAAGTTAATGCGATTTGCTAGAACGTTATCACTTACATGATGACATTAGACGCATGAAAGTGCATGAATATGTGAATATATTCTAGGCATGTGCAATACATCGGAATGTTGCACTGGGTGTTAAGAATGTAATATTGCAAGGGAAAGTTAACACATACTGACAGAAAACTGAAAATGTAATTATCCTGTCGTATGCCGGCGACTCATCGGAAGGGTGACAAACTATTCTAAAAACAAGCTAAACGTGTTCTTTTGCGTCATCGTTACTGCTTGTCTCACATAAACGTACCTTTGTCGTATTAACCACGTGTTCTGGTGTTAATTTTCTTGTGAATGGGCTGGGAGTTGTTACGTTCAAATCTTCCTGTTGGAAAAACAGTAATTTTATACCAAAATACAGATAATGTTGTGTTACATGCGTAGTATAATGTACTGGACTAAATCCGACTGCGTTCCTCACTAGTTACTAAGTTTGTTTAAAACGATACGAACTGTTCTATAGTGTGTCGGTTGTGTGGACTGATTTCAATGACAGTGTTCATATTTATAGATTTTGTTTTTGATGGTATACTTTCGATGATAATGTTGAGTGCTACTTAAAACCAAAGGCATATTTCTATGAATAGAGTCTATGGTGTATTCATTTGATGTCTAAGTCCGTCTGATCTGATTTGCTGTTATAGAAACACGTTAATAATTGCCATTTCCTATTTAAAATTATTTTAAATTAGTAATAAATGTATGACTCAAAATTGTTAATAAAAGTACATTATGGACAGCAAAACACAGTAGCTTGAAAGAATATATATGTGATATGTTCTTTTGATCATTATAATATAATGCCAATCATAGCGACGACGGTTGCTATGGGCGCAGTGGCGGATCCAG